CAGGTCATGTCTGCGTGCATGCCCAAGATCCCGAGAGGAGAAGGGAGAAGGGATTGCAGCGTGGCCATCCCCTCGGGGGATGATTTCTCACTTCCTGTCTCTGTCTGTCTCTGTCTTTCGCCTGGCGTGAGTTTTAAGCCACCAGGTCCAGGACTCAAATCGCGGTCAAATACGTGGGAGTCCAGCGACATAGCCATTATGCTAACTGCTGGTCTCGGCAAACCATTAGTTTATAGGTAAATTAATATCTTTTTATAAAAATCCTAGGATAGCATTTCTCAAACAGAGCTGATACTGCTACCTTTGAAATTCTCAGAAAAGCAGTTCAAGAACCTACAAAATAAATAGCAGCCTACAAACATATGATTAAATCCTGAGTCTAGGAGTCAGCAGGTAGCCAGCGTGGTAGTTGGGGTGCTGGGCTCCTACATGGCAGACCATGATTCAAGCCTTAGAACTAGCAGCTTGCTTTCTCACTTTACCTCTCCCCCTCCCTCCCCCCTCCTTCTTCTTCCCTCTCTCTCCTTGACTCCCTGGTCAGATTAAAAAAATAACAATAAAATAAAATAAATAACCCTAAAAAAAAAAAAAAGATTAACTCTTGAGTATCAAATTCCTAGGCCAAGTTTCAAAACAGTTCCCTTATCTTCAACTGGCTGAAAATAGGCAGATCTCTAGCTTTTCCCTTATGGATAGTTAGGTTAAGCAAATTTTTTAAAGAAATAAAGTATTTCCAAAGGCAATGTTAGCTTATATGAAATAAGCTGTACTTTTCTTTGAGATTCTTTATAACAGCCACCCCTCCCTTAACCATTCACCCCCAAATAAAAATATATACCTTCAACAAATTTTATTCCAAGAAGATTCTTTCCCCTAATTTTTTGCTCATACCATGACATAAATACTTACATATCTAAAAAAAAAAAGAAAGAAAGAAAGAAAGAAAGTACCAAAGAGAAAAACACAGGTTTTGAAAATAAATAATTATATGGTCAAAACTGAATAATCTGAAATTTTTTAAAGTTTACCCTCTTTTCCTTCAAATTTCTACTTGGGAATTTTAGGAACTTAAAATATACAAGAGCAGGGACCAGCAGATGGCATAATGGTTATATTGCTAGACTCCCACATAGTTGACTGAGGTCTGAATCTGAACCAGGCAATTTAAAACTCACATTGGCGCATGTGCATGCATGACCAAAATCCCAAGAGGAGAATGGAGGAGAAGGGATTGCAGTGTGGACATCCCTCCTAGAGGGCGATTTCTCACTTTCTGTCTCTCTGTCTCTCCAGCAAGTACATGTGTCCTATAGCAAAAATCTCTCTAAAGTAAAATAAGAAGTAAAATATACAAGAGCCAAGAAAAATCACAATGTCTTATAGCATACCTGTGTTTTCCCTTGCTGCCCATAAACAATTTTTGTTGGGATGATTTTAGCTGCTGGTTGAACTGTGGAACCTATTCCTTTTGGCTGAGTTACAATCATTTTGGTGATGGGTCTTGTAGCAGTGATGATAGCTGGTTTTGCTCCTGTTGGTACTGTCTGAATAGTCTTTTCTCCCTAAATTAAAGTCAATAGTTATTATAAGATATTTATATTCACTTAAGTGGTCAAAACCTGTGTTGTTACTGAAAAATCATAGGAAGGTTTTACTGGGATGATGGGAAAGAACTGTAAGTTATCTAACCAATTACAGTGTTTCTAAATGATCAAAATGACTATAGTTAGTTGAAATGATCTTAGAGTCACTGACCAACCTTCTATCCAAAGAAGTAGTTATTTCCTGATGAATTTTTTAAAACTATATTATGTGGGGTCAGCAGATAGCATGGTAGTAAAAGTGCTGGACTCGCACATGGCCAACTGCAGTTCAAATCCCAGGTCTGGCAGCCTGAAAATCACACTGGGCATGTGTGTGTGCATGCTCAAAATCCTAGGAAAATAGAGGAAAATGGATTGTGGCAAGGTCATCCCCTCTGAAGGGTGATTTTTCACTTTCCCTCTCACTGTCTTTCTTTGGCACCCATACAAACCCTATGGCAAAAACCTTCAAAAAACTACATTATGTAAAAATAATTATTATACTGTGTCATTCACAGACCACATATATTAAAAGAGTCAGAAAATTCCAGAAGAATAGATACTAAAATGGGTATCTTTAACAGAGTTACAGGTGTCACTGCCCTCCCCCCATTCATTTTTATTTTCAATTTATCTGAAATAAATATTTCTGTAATTTTAAAAGATTACTTTTCAATATACCAGTAGCTGAATGTACATTCACAAAATAAACTCCCTAAGTTCCACTTGTATGGGCGAGATAAAAATCAACAGAGATATTAACATTCTTCCTAAGGTTATATGGAAAAGAAAAAAAAAAATTATCAGTATGTTACTAATATCACTTTAGTTAACAAGATAGCTTATGCCCATTAACTCTTCACCATTTTCTGTATTTTCATCTGCTTTATTCTTAAATGCCATTTTCTGGTTATTCAGGTACTCAAAATCTTTTTACTTGAGTTAAATTAAAATATTTTATTACATTATTAAAATATTTTAAATTATAATCCATACAATTAAAAAGGAAATGATAGGACTTGAGAATTTTTACCTTCTCGGTTTTTCTAATTTTTAGCCATCATCATCATCATCATCTAAATATGTGGCCATATATACTTAGTAGTCAATAAAAACAAAGCACCCAGGTGAGCTGGCTAAAAAGCAATCATTCTGTAAATGTGGAGCTATAAAATACAATTACAAAAAATGTACATTTAACTATCTATTGTAATTATCTAAAGGAATAATCTGACAATTGTGTGGTAACTTACTTCAACAGGACATAACCTTTACATCAGCACCACTGGTTAAAAACTCTAGTTCATTTGCCCATAGCCATTAGTTTACAAGCGGGCATGCCTATGAGTATATGGTTCATTGGGCCTGTCCAAGAATGATCATGATTCAAAGCCAAAACCAACTTGCAGGCTGTATGGTGAAAAAGTTCTTCTAAAGTCAGTGATAACCAAGTAGTTAAGTGAAATGCATGTGTTTGTGTGGTGAACAGGGTGGACTGATACCCTGATCTGCTTGTTTTACTAGCATTGCCTGCGTTGAAATGTTGACTCTTAGATCTTTGTGATCATAGGATCTAGAATAAATGGCATTCTACTTTATATATCAAGCTCTACAGAACTACAAATCACGCTATAAAAGGTTCGGGAAATCTCGACTCTAATCCTGGCTTTACTTTTGGCTTACTATATGAATTCAAGCTATGAACAATCTATGTTTTCCCACATGCTGAAAAAAAATCTAATGCTAGGTCTCTCTCAATACTGTAAAAACTGTGATGTCTAAGATGCTTTTATGAGACTTACTTAAATGAAGTATAGCATTCCATTTTTTAATGAAGTCAGGCAAGATAAGGACACTATCAAGTCTAAACAGCTAAGTACCAAGAATAAAAATAAGAAGAAAACCAATAATAATAACTTCCTATGTGCCAGGCACTGTTCTAAGCATTTTCAAAATAGCTACCTGGCTCAGCTGCACTGGTGCATGCTGCTAATATGCTGTTACTTGGAGACAGGACCACATGGAAGACCTGGGTTTGATTCCCAGCCATACCTAAACAGGCAGGCACAGTGGTGTGCGTCTATAGTCCTAATTAGCTGTGAGGATGGAGCAAGAGGATCCTGATATGGTGAGACTCCGTCAAAGCTAATCAATCAATATTTTCTCTCTCAAATAAATGAATAAACTTACAAAAAAAAAAAAGATACTAGCTACTGCCAACTTCACTGGTAGAGAACATCATCCCAATGTACAAATGAGGAAGTTAAGGATGAGAAAGGTTGAATAAGTCATCCAAAGTCAAATAATTATAACACTGAGAGACAAGGTCCAAGTTTGTACAATTCCAAACGTCTTAACAACTGCTTTCAGAACTATAAATAAAATAGTAATTTTGATTTCTGTTTTAAACTAGATCAGGGAGATTAAAATGAACAAAACCAAAAACAAATGAAAGTAACAAATCCCTGTCAATTAACCCTAACTCCAAATATTCCTCTTTGCCCGGCCTATGCCAAATACTAGACCAATAGCCACAGACCATAAGCCACCAAAAGTCCTCCTGCAGTTAAGTCAGTGGAATTTTCCACCTGGACCGAACTAAGCATCTAAATCATGGTCACAAAAGCCTAGGCTGTGAGTTACTATGAGCAACTCATGTTTTGAAAATGTGGAAAATGGTATCAGTTGGTGGTGCTTTAACAGTTATTATATCACAGTAGTGGTAAATCAAGCCATTCTAGCCATGTGGGGTTCTGAAGTCCTTAGGAAAATATTTGTATAGCTGGTCTTTAAAAACCCTCAGTGGATTGCTGAGTCTGCAGTTCAAGCTCTTACTTACTCCAGCATTTAGCAATGTTGTGACAACATTTTTGCCCGGGAGGCCTTGAATGGTCGTTCCTTTTCCTGTAGTCTTTTGCACAACAATCACATTGGGCTTGGAAGTCATTGGGATTGTAGTGATTTTGGTAGTCGTTCCTTAGAGAAGGAGGAAGAAAAGGAGGCCTGTGTTAAGGACTAAGTGACATTGGGTCATCTTTGTTTATGCTGTACACAATTAACACTTGCAGCTGATGTCATCCCTAGATGACATGAACACTGTCATAAGGATGAAAATGAAGGCTTGGAATAATAAGTTATAAAGTATCCCAGAACTAGAGAATATTAAGAATCGACTTTTAAAGCAGTCATATTTTAAGAATGAGGACTATAAACCACACCTAGAGTCTAAAAAAATAGCATTTTCAATTTCTCCCTTGATAATCTTTTTCTTACTAGTAAAATGAAAATAAATCAGATTTCTATTCTAAGACACATATTGCCCTCAAACTTAGTATTCTATGTGATTAATGGGAAAACTCTTCAAAAAAGATCATAAGAAGTAAATACTTATATCAAAATTCACTCAACACTAGACTCTACAGAAAAATCTCTGAAAAGAAATAAGCCATGTATTTTTGTGTGATTAAAAAGGCAAAGTAGGAGGCTGACCACATGGCCTAGTGGTTAAGGGAGCTGGATCTTGGGACCAGCAAATGGTGTAGTGGTTATGTCCTTGGACTCCCACATGGCCGACCTTGGTTGGTGTCCCAGACCCAGTGTCTTCAAACTCACGCCAGAAACATGTGCTTATGTGCCCATATCCCAGAAGGAGAAATGTTGTGTGGCCATACCCCCTGGGGGTAATTTCTCACTTTCTCTCTCACTGTCTCTCTCTCCCCTGCGAGCACACACGCCCTAAGGCAAAAAAGGCAAAAACCTTTTTTTTAAAAAGGGAGGAAGCTAGATCTCACATGGCCATTTATGTGGTCTGAATCTGGTCTCTGGTGGCTTGAAAACACAAGCACATATGCATGCATGCTCCAAATCCCCACAGGATGGAGAAACAGAAAAGAGATTGTGGCATGACCACTCCCCAAGGGGCGTGGGGGCAGTTCTCCCTGTATCTCTCTCTCTGGCAAGTACATGCACCTTTTGGCAAATTGAAAAAAGAAAAAAAAAAAAAGACAGAAGTAGGGGTCAGACAGTATGCAATGCTCTGACTGACAATCCTACAGGGGAAGGTTTCCAGTTCATATCCAGAGACCTTCATGAGTACACTGGGCATACGCTTGCCCACAATCTAGAGCTGGCTGAAGGGTGAAGGTGAATTGTGTCAAAATTCTGCTGGGAGTTCTATTTGTCTCTCCTGCTCATGGAAGAAATAAATAAAGCAACTTTAAAAAGAAAGTAAACGGTGACACATAGACTAAGTCACGGATTCAATGTGTGCTTCACTATCTGCAATATATAAAGTATGAGAATGAAAAACTAATTTATGTATTTATATATTTATACATGTAAACATCTATTTTCATACATTAAAATCTACTTATTAAGTCTATATCTACTGATTCAAATATAATGTTGTCTTTCTCTCTCTTCCCCACATCTTTCTATAACCTGCTTCTCTTCTACCTAACAAATATATCTATTGGGATCAGCAATTGGCATAATGGCTATGTTGCTGACTCCCATGTAGTCAACCACGGTTCAAGTCCCGGACCCGGTGGCTTAAATTCACACCGGGTGCGTGTGCGTGCATGCCCATGATCCCAAGAGGAGAATGGAGGAGAAGGGATTGCGGCGTGGCCATCCCCCTTGGGGGGTGATTTCTCGCTTTCTATCTCTCTGTCTCTGTCTTTCTGGTGAGTGCACGCACACTATAGCAAAAACCTCTCACCCCCCCAAAAAAAAAAAATATATATGTCAAATCTATGTTCTCTATTATTCTGGTTGTCTAAGTTGAAAATCCTGGGGCAAATCTTTGACCCATGCTTTCTCTTGACTTTCTGTACCCCCTAAAAACTAAAGCCTCTTGAGTTCCATACTATTTCTTCTTATGTGAACAATTTCTCAGTGCTTAGCACAGTGGATGGCAATTATTCAGTAATAGTTGTTTGTTGAGTATATGAACAAACTCAGTTTGTTGCCAGTGTGTGTATTCTTTCCAGAACAGCTCAACAGCCTCATCTCCTTTGGTTTCCCACACTGTTTGGAATTTCTCCCTGTCTAGAATTTCTCTATCATGCAAATAGCTCTGGTGCTCCCTGTGATAGCAAACATGCTTTTAAAAACAATTTTATCATGGCAAAACCTTAAACTTGTCAGATTATGTCTGTCATAATCCCAATTATGTCTAGTTCTAATTTCTCTTCTTGTATTTTAAAATCCAACATCATCCAGACCTCCATTTACAATTTGACCTTAGTAGTTCCTATTCTACAGTACAAAGCTGAATCTCTAATCTAACCAGTAACTTCTTCATCATGGCTTCCCATTACCTATCACTCAAAGCCCCAAACTCTCTGCCTAGTCTTTCCAGGTTATCAGATTTTAATTTTCAGAATTAATCAACATATATCTCTGATTCAGTGTGCTGGTTTCCATACTGGTCCTTGAACACACCAGTTCCAATGCTACTTTTATTCCTGTTAATTTCCTCTGCCATGTTATATTCCTCTTCTATAGGTTTGTACATCATTTGTCAAATGACTAAGCACAAAATGGGTAACTCAATAAAAACGTGACTAATATGGTCCACTGGAAAAATCTTAACATTCCTTACTACAGTTTTAGAACTATAATTACACTAAGAATAAAAATATTCTAGTTTTTATGTTAACTTTAGAAATAATGTTATAATTCAATGTGTGATTTTCCATTATCCAATGTCTCATCAGTCCAAGGTAAAACATTCAGATGTTACTTTTTTAAAAAGCCTATTATTGGAACCAGCAGGTTGTGTGATGGTTAAGGCTGTAGACATTCCCACAAGGCCAATCATGGTTCCAGGCCCAGACCTGGTAGTTGGCTTTCCTCATATTCTCTCTTTCTGTCTCTCTCTAGTCAAATTAAAATAAATGAATAAAAATATAAAATTAAATAAATAATTCTTTTTTAAAAAGTCTATTATCTGCAGACTAGCTTCATAATTGTATTTTTCTTTATCTATAGTCTCTCAATAATGAGCTCTTAAACTGCCTATTATTTATTTATACCAACTTTAGATCTTAATTAATGACAATCCCTCATATAACTCTACAGTCTCACCAAATATTTATCAATATAAAGTGCTTTTAGAAAAAATCTTCAAATAAAAAATAAAGGAAAAAAAAGAAAAAAACTTTAAGAACTACCACAAGGAATAGAAACTATGCTTTTAACTGTACACTGAAGCATAAGGACCACTTTTTGACAAAACTTGCTTCAGTAAATTATACCTACTAATATGTCTAATCCCTTCTATTACAAAGGTTTGTCAATTTGTGAGATAGCTACAAATAGTCCACCAGTTTAATGAAAGGAAGAGCGAGAATGTTTGAAAATATAAGAAAAAGAGACTGCATGAAGCAAGGCCATTATATTAAAATGGAATACAAGTTATAACTAGGATGATCAATTATTAATGTCTGAAATTCTACTGAGTGCACTTCTGTTTCTTAGGGGACATCTATGTTGACTGAAGAAAGTATTATGCATTACAAAAAAATCTTCTATGCTTAGTAGTAGGTTTATAGCTCTCATTACAAGAAAATGTGTAGCTCATTTGTTCAGCATTCTTTAGGGCAGAGAATGAAATTCATGTACTTCCCTATGGATCACAGTATGTAGCACAGTATCTAGTTCATACTGGAGAACCCACTTACAGTCTACTTGTGGAGTAAAGACATAATGGGCGCAAATAACTGTGAATCACATTTGGATTACAGTGGACTATGATGCTGATGAATCACAGGGGTAATTTATTTAAAAAAAAACAGCAAAAGTACAAGCATTACAATAGGAAGACTTAAAGAAAAACACTAATTTATTGGCTCAGATTTTACTACTCATGGATTTTTAAATAATCTGGACAAGCTTGATTTCTTGAGTAATTTATGTTGCTTTGCTCAGAGAATGAATAAACAAATGAGTGAAAAAACTTATCAATACCTCCTTGTCCAGACACTGTACTAAAGAGCGAGAGAATTAAAATAAAGTCTTGCTATTGTCATAAGTTTTCATAATGTCCTCAAAATCAAGATAATGAGTTCATCATTTAAGGTTCCAACATGCTGCATATAATGGCTACGATTCTTCAACCAACTCTCAAAGCGGTCATAAACAAAACTTAGAAATCTGAGTCACCTCGTATATATACATAAAAATAAATATCTGACTATAAAATACAAGTTAACTGTAAAGATAGTGATGGCTTCTATTTAATTGCTCAAGGGACCAGCAGTTGGCATAATAGCTATGTTGCTGGACTCCCATATAGTCAACCGTGGCTTGAGTCCCAGACCTGGTGGCTTAAACTCCCACTAGGTATGTGTGCGTGCGTGCCCAACATCCGAGGAGAAGGGATTGCGGTGTGGCCATCCCCCCTGGGGGGGTGATTTCTTGCTTTCTGTCTCTCTCTGTCTTTCTGGCGAGTGCATGTGCCATATAGCAAAAAACCTCTCCAAAACAAACAGACCAAAAAAAAATTGCTCAATCTAATAAAAGAAAAACTTCCTTTCTAGAAAGTACTTTCATAAGCATTAATTTGCTTTCCAAGACATTATACAAAAGAAGTAGAAACTATGGCACAAAATAACTTATATATAATAATGTTCAACAAAGGACTATATACAATGACCAAAACAAACAAAAACAAACCCCATAAGCAATCTGAAACATTCAACCATAAAAAATGATTAAATTATGGTATATCATGTAAGTGACTAATTACTATTACATAGTCACTATAGAGAGGTAGTATCAAAATACATTTATTAGCATAGGAAAATAATATTATTAAATGAAACAAGAATGCTAATAATACATACTAACCAATTTTTAAAATATAGACATATATATGTAAATATGTATATGTATATGTACATATGAGTGTTTGTATATAAATTGAATTATACCAAAAAATGTACAGAAAAGGATATGAAAACAATACACCTAATTTTAACACACTGCTATGTCTAATAAAAATTGTAAGTTTTAAATTTGTACTTTTCTGTATTTTCTAAGTTTTTTCATAAGGAGATGAAAAGTATCTTTTTTTGAAACTTCTGTTCTTATAGCTAGATATTGGAGCATATTTTAAGAAAACTTCATTTTTTTGTTTGAGGAAAGGGGACTCTATCAATAGAATCCAGCATCTGGCTCACGGATGAAAGTAGAAAAGCGTCTAAATTGATTTAATCAGGCTTATTAGTTTACTACAAATAGACAATGAATGATTTAAAAATACGAACAAACTAACCTATAAGCTCTATATCATAAACAAACAGGATTATCAAAATGAACTGTCCAATGATCAATTTAGAGCAAGCAAGAATGAGAATTTTTCTGGAATAAAAGTGTCAAACCATAAATTCAGACAGAGACACAATGAGCTCCATGCAATGAACAAAGATGTTTAAGAGCTTGCCGACTCATATATACAGTGCTGGAAAAGTTTAATAACTCTTCTCATGTATGCCCATGTATTTGAAATAGCAACTAATCATGAGTTGTGTTATATTTTAATACAAAAGTGGATAGTATGTATAAGTGTACAGGATATGTATCTCAGATCCCATCTCTGCTTCTGGGAAAATGTGCTTGCTTGTATTGCTCTAACCTAATACAAAGTAGCTACATCATGAACAAGGTCTGAAAATAGTGGCTGACCCAGACTTCCCTTCAAGCTATATGGTACTATAAATTCATTCCTACATAAGAGAAACCATTAAGGTCACAAAAAGGTACTGCCCATGAGAAACATGATCACTTTTTGAAAAATGTTTGAGGTAGTGCTCTATACTATTTAAAGATATTGTTAAGCAATAAATTATAATTTGAATTTTAACTATGTTATTTAAAATATCCTCTTTAAAGGTAGAGTACGATGATTCTTTCCCACTGGTTTCACCCTCCTCAGTTTGGCAAACACTGAGTTTTCTCACTTACACTTAAAAGTAGAGCCAAAATTAACAGCTTTAAATATAGTGCTTTATGCCAATACCATGCCCTGTTTTGCTTTTTTTTTTTTTACTCCCTCAGTTATCAGCAACATCAAATTACTGCCAGGAACTTCAATTCCTTGACTTTAAAATGTTATAACAACTCACCTGGGGTTATAAAATAAAGCTAGTCTACAAAAATGGTAGATGGTTAAAGTCCACAAGTCTTGCTTAATCAGAAATTATTTACATCGTTTTAATTAAAAAATAATAATCAATGAAAACAGATGCCATGTTGACATTTCACTTCAGGGTCCACAACTCAAATTCAGCAG